GAGGGAGGGCTGACGGCTCACACAGCGACTGAAGGGACCACCGGCCTCTGCGCGCTGCTTGGCCTCCCCAAATGCGGTGCGCACGTGTTTCCACTTGTTCCCATATTCCCACATGCTTCATGGACAAAGCCTCTACGTAAGCAAGTGTTAGACATCAGCTCTGCAAGCTGTGTCAGCAAGATATACCCAATGCTTCCGACAAGAAAGCAAGCCCTTGCCACCAGCCGAAGCTGCCGCACACTTGGGCTGCCTGCTTGGCCTGTCGCTTGCGGCGCTGCTTCGACTGCTCCACAAATTGCGTGTCCTCCTCCTGTGCGGATACTGCTTTAGCGCGCAGAGACCTCATGCAGCACGAAGGCCTCCTCGTCCATCGGATCTTCACCCTGTTCTGCATCCGCTTCCTCCTCTACCTGCTCCGCTTAAGGGATAAGGCATTCGAATGAAAGAAAGGCGTCTGCCGTGAATTAGACAGTCTGGGCCTGAAGCAGCACCAACTTACCAAGGTGGCCCCATCCACAGCATGAAGCAAGGCTGGCATGCTGCATACACGCGCTCTTTCTTTCTGTCTTTCTGGCAGGTTTGGGAAAAGCATGTCGAAGCACACGCACCTAGATATTGCTTGAAAGGGATTCCTCGGGAGCAGCACTCCACGGATCTTGAAAAATTGACTCACCTCTGGTTCAGTGCCCTCTTCTACTGCTCCTCGTTTTGGGGGGGGGTATCAGCCGATAACCCCACTGTACCAGCGCGTTTCCTCCCATTGAGGGAGAGATACCAACGGATGCTTCCTGAAGATACCTCTTCGTCGAGCCCACCCCGACATCCTTTCACCTCTCGGAAAGGAGACGCCTGGGGCAGAAACTCGAGCACTAATTTCTACACACCTCACCTTCTAACTTTGAACATCTCTAGCTCTCTCTATGTCGTCCTGGCAAACGTCGATACTTGGAGGCGCGGTTGCTAAGCTCACCAGCTCTTGCTCGCCTCAGCTTCGGCATCTTCTTGGACGTCCTCTGTTTCTGCTGCCCCCAACGCCTCCTGCATGGATGCATCTAGCTGTAATTTGGGTTGTGGACTGCACCTCCTGACCTGCCTGCTTCGCGGCAGCATCTGCTTTCTTGGCCTAGCTCCAGCTGTTGACGCATGATCGCCGCCTAATCCGCAATCGGTGGAAGGCCTTCTTGCGCTCTTTGCGGATTTGTGCTGCCTTTTCTTGGTTGGCCTGACAGCTGGCGCATTCCAAACACCTCAGACAATGGGCCCCAAGAAAGCTGCCTTCTTTTTGGCACTCTTCCTTGGTTCGCAGGTTCAAACTCTTGGGACGGACGTGAACCAGTCTACCGCCGGGCCGAGCCACTGCTCCATCTGATCGATCCAGGACTCATCCAACACTTCCTCTGCCTCAAACGAGCAGTCGTCTGCCTTCACCAGCACACACTGGACCTCCAAACACCCAAGCCTGCTTCTCTTGGGTCTCCTTTGTTGCAAAATGACCGCCGCACATCAAAGCACAGGGAACAGCAGAAGATCTTCCCTAATTGCAACAGGCTAGGGGCTGCTTTTTCTGCGGCTTCCCGGGCAGCGGCCTCCTGCAACAGATCTAGAGCCGTAAAGGCACACATTGAAGCGTCGCTACTTGCAGGATCTTGCAGCTCACTGCAGGTGTCCTTTCTCTGCTGCAGGCGTTTCCTGTCATGATGCGGCTGCGACTGCCAACCCGAAACAGGCCAGAATCCGATGCCAGGACTTGCCTTGCACGCTCTTGGGACGGAGCCAATGGTGCCTCGCTGCACATTTCATTCAATTCTAATTCTATATGTTTGCCGCTGTTTGCCTTTGGTTTCAAAATTCCAAGTGGCTGCGGGAGGTGGCGGTCGCTGGGCTGCTCGGACAGCTGCAAGGCCAGGGCCTACGAGGTTCCTCGGAGAGAGGTACTGAGGTACAGTCGTACAGTCAGTGGTCGGTTCTCGTGGGTCTCCCTCCGCTTTCGCTGCTGCCAAGATGCATCATCAGTTCCGGCGGAAGCTCGATCGCGTCGCTGGGCAAACCATTGTCGCCTCGGGCTTGTCCCCCAATGAACACAAACAGTACTGTCGACAGGAGCTTTGGCCATAGCTCATCGTGAGGGGATCCCAATTCCTTGGTAAAGCTTTCAGAGAGGCTGCCGTGCCGCTCGCTAAGGCCAATCAGAGTCAAGGCTCAGGTCATCGGGCACATGGCCTTCGGAAGCCTGGATACAAGCACTTGCAGCCTAGCAAAACAAGCGGTCATGCAAAGCGAGTCCCACATCCCAACCCATGATGGCCTCAATAATTTGTGCCTGGGCTGCCCGGTGCTAGCTAGGTTCGTGCATGTTCGTGCATTCTCTCGTGCCCAGCCGCTTGCTTTGTCAGTGCAGCTGAGCTGCAGCAGCTTTCATGAACGGACTGGGCTTGTAAGTCACGTCATCTGCTTCTGTCCCCTCCACACAGCAACAAATGCTTGAATCATCTACCACCCACAATGCGCTTCGCCCAATCGGGCTCTTGTGGGTAAGCGCACCACATTGGACGCCATCCACAAAACTCCACTTTCGGCCTGAGGGGTGTGCAAAAACACACGGCTTCCAAGGAAGCAGTGGCAAGCAGAGCTAGGCCCACAGCCGTCCAGCCAAGAAAGGGATAACTTAAAAGGCCATGGAGCTAAGCTTGAGCTAACACGAAGCTGCACGTATGGAAGAGCATGTCCCATCAGCAATAAGAATGGCCGTAGTCAAAGATGTCAGTGCATGTCGTGCAAACCGACTTGTTTAACATGCAGGGTCGGTTATCGATTCAGAAAGGCGGCACAGAAGGGCGCAGACCCCCACGCCCATGAGATGAAAGTAGCTGTGCCGCTCTGCCGAGTTCTGTACAGGACAGTTGACGCAAGGGCTGGTTCAGAAAGTCCGAGTCCAGACATCAGCCCTCGCTGTCATAGTCTTTACGAATTCACGTTACCAAGAAAGGCAACGAAGGCTATAATCCATTTAAAAGACTTTGGAAGAAGCGGGCTTGGTTGCACCACGGGCTCAGATTCGCCCACCTTGACTTTTTCATCCCTTTGATAATGGTTTAAACTGGCTCCAAAGATACTGCGCCTCGTGATATCCAGGGAGCAGGCACACTTCTTGGCCGCCGGGAAGCATTGCATCCCACATCTTCTGGCAAGAGAAACCGGAATCACGAGTCTGAAAATGGAATGCGGATCTGCGCATTCAAACCATGACACTCGCGAAATCACTCTCTGCGGGCCTCCTCGTCCTGAACACCACAAGGACATGTCGGATTTCAAGTGCCGTGGACTTGACTCGTGCGAACTACTGCGTGGCAGAGCTCCTTCCAAGGATGCAGATAGTCCATGTCGTTGTGGCCCCAGTAGCATGGGCCATACCTTTCTAGCAACGACTTCACTCTGGCAGGCCAAGGGCCGAAGAAGCCCCAAGAATAATTCAGATGCCGGCTTCAAGAACTCCTTGGCCCGCTCATCGATTCCTGCAAGCGATGCGACATGAATGACACTGTGCCTTTGAACAGAACACCGCATGACGACAAGTCCAACTGTCGCAACATGTTCAACGGGTCTTCCAAGATCTGTGGCAGTGCAGCGCATCTCCCCGCAAGCGGCCAGATTCTCGCCTGAGCACCCCGCGCACCGCACCGCCCAACTGAAGGAGCGCACACATTGCAACAGCTCGTCTGGGAGCCCAGCGCAAGTGCCCAGAGTCCTTGGACCTTATGTAACAAGTTCGGAACTCTGTGCGTGATCCGAGCAGGCGCCGAAATTGCGCTCTCGGCCGCTGGCTTCACCACAGTGCTGGAGTTGCGGGCCTGGTTCCACTGCATGCAAACCTTGCAGGGGCGTCGGATCTGCACCCGAAGCTGATACTCCCAGGCATGCGCCTGGAATGGAGTCAGCTGGTGCTTCTCTGCTACCTAGGTACATATGATGCACGGGTTCAAGCAACGCAGGCCACTCAAGAAAACTCGAGGCTCGAACTGAGAGGACTGTGGGGTCCTTAGACAGCTTACTTCACTAAGTAGGCGAGCCAGGCTCAACGCATGGATTCAAACATTTAGGCAATGGCCCCTCACTCATGCCCGTCACTGCAATTTTTCTCAGCACATGGTTCAGACTTGTACCAAGGCCCGGCGCATCAACAGCTCGGTGGCCGGAATTACGCTCTGTCTCTTGGCCACCAAAGGGCGCATAACCTGCACTGAGCCGTACTAGTTACTAGTGCGAAAAGGATGGCCCGGCCCGCTGACGCTGAGCAGGTTGCCCTGGAAAGCAATGGATTGCTTCCTGCACCAGTCACGCACCGACCTGCAACAGACTCACCACAGGTACATGTTCCTCAGAAGCCAGTGTGCCGTCCGTGCCTGTTCGGCCAGTGCGGGTGCGACTCTCCCTGCATGACCATGGGAGCGACCTGAGAAGATCATCGCGCTGGGTAGGCCGTGCAAGCCTCTGGAGACTAAGACCGCGTCAGCGCAGCCTTGTAGAATTGCCTTACCATTGCACCCATGAGTCAAGCGATGCATGGACACCGTAAACACCCTCGCGGCCTCCATGTCCTCGATCGTGTGGTTGCTGACCCCGATCGCACGAGCCCGGCCAGAGTTGAAAAGCCTGAGACTCATCAAAGCCAGCAACTCGGCGAAGACGACAGAAACTGGGCCACAGACTCTTCCATAGCTCTCCAGGTTTCGCCACGCAGTGAAGCTTTCGTTTGACTGGCCCTTGCTGGTGCCCACTTCACCGCGGCAACGTCACGAATACATTTTGACCCGATATTAACAGCTATCTCAGCTCCTGTGTTTCCCTTTTTCTCTGTCACCTCTCGTGATGATGATCACGAAAGCCTGCTCTGCAACGCGTACACACATTGACACAATGCCAGCCTTGCGGCCTTGCAAAGGTGAAACTTGATCGTCAATGTCACGGAGAGCGCTCTCCGTTCGACGTCCCAGGAGCACATGTCACTGGGGCGGGAAGCTCGACCACGGCGAAGGTAGAGTGGACGCATGGAGCGAACTCAGTCCCATCAGATCCGGCACAGGACTCGGAGGGCAAGATCCTCCAAGAGGAAATGCTGGAAGAGGCATCGGACAGTGCCCGGGCAGCCCTGGCATGTGCACTCCAGGTGGGTAAACAGAACGAAAACCAGCAGGTGGTGCTGGTGGTAGTGGCGCCACTGGCACAGGTCCGTTTGGGAAGACCCGTGACTGAGCGTAGCCAAATGGATTGTTCAAGTTGCCATTGCAACTTGCCGCAGTCGCTGAAGGGAACGTTGTTGGCTCCTGGATGCTGACGGATGCATTGGTATTAGGTGCTTCGCCTGGAGCAGCCATAGGCAGAAGCAAGCCCGAGTCACCTCCTCGTGATGGGTGGAACCTCGCCCATACATCACTTATCGGTGATCGCGACGCATCAGTTTCCGGGACGCGCGGGGTGACTGGCGTCTCTGCTGAAGACAGAGCCGCAGACGCCCGCTTCCCTTTTTCGATTTCGGCCGCTCTCCGGCGAATTTCCTCGACACGATCCGACGGAGGCAAAGGGGGCCCTCGCACTCTCAAGCAAGGCTCCGCTCCCGGAAAGCTGCGAGCCATTGGAAGACCCTGTGCGGTGAGTCGGTCTGGAGCGGACTTGGCCTGAATGTCATGGAAGCCTTAGCTCCGTCATGAAAATGCTTGTTTCATCTCTGGCATGTGAACATAGAAAGACAAACCACTGACACGTTACACACTGCTACATGGATGAGATGACTAAGCGACTAGCGACTACTAGCAGCCGGACCAAATGCTCGATGATGCATGCTCATACCACTTGCTTAACAATGCGACAAGTAGCGGAGCCTGGAGTTCAACTTCCCGACACGCCCGTCGATGGGCATGACAGTAACAGACGAAACATCCGCCTGTTCATGACCATTCTCGCTCTCAAGGGTCAGTGGGGCAGCAACGCCTGCACCATTGACAGTGTCTGGCTTTGCAAGGTCAGGGCTTGGGACACCGGCTGCACCTTTCAGCACTGCAGGTGTCTTCAGCTTCTCGGTCATTGGCGTCGGCTCTGACCTCTCGCACGACAGTGACAGCTCCTCCTGCAGCTTGCTCATCAGCTCACCATGGCGGCTTTGCAAAGCTTTGACTTTGGCCATCGATTGCTTCTTCAGCTGCTCCAGCGTAGCTCCAGGCTTCGGTGAACCGAAAACTCTCAGCCTCTCAATCGCTCCCTTGTGCACGTCTTCCAGGCAGCCACATCGCTCTGCCAGCAAGGATAGGCTAGCCCGGAGCTCAGACACTTGCCGCTGGCAGGCTTGGACTTGAGACAAAGTCCCCGTTTTGCCATCCCTTACGGGAGACAGCATTGGCATGTGGCAATCCTTCCCACCATTGCCGGTTACAAACAAGCCGAAGGCCCGCTACAATGACTGGCCTTGACGCATGTAGTAATGTCACAAGATGGAAAAAGACTAATGCTTCGGCATTTTGACAATGGCCATCTGATTGGCCCACCATGCCTGTCTCCAACCCGAGTCTTAACGAGCCAGAACAGCAAGTGCTGCAGTGGTTGCAGACCTGCCTGCATCTGTCACATACAAGCTTGGCGGCCGGGTGCAATTCTCACATCTACATTTGCCATGCCGGCCTGCTCCACTGCGCAGGACCCCAGTCTCGCTGCTCCAAAGACCACACATGCGGCCTTTGTCCACGGAAAGAGCTAAGTTCTGAAGCACCCAAACGTCCTGGGCAACGGCCATTGAATCAGCAACAAATCAACCTCATTCGAGAGCGTTGCTATGAGCAGAAGGCAGCAGTGGCCTAACTCTATGAGAGCCGGACGTAATCCACAGCCAGCTGGCTAGTTTGCCTAATCTCTCAGGACTCCCACACAAGCCTCCACCTAATCCATCATGTAGGCCCGACCTCCGAAACGATTGGAGGACGCCATCGTGGCCTCAATTCAGTGCTGTCCACAAGCGACTCGCTTATGCAAGGCATCCAGGCAGCCAGGCATACTCGTGGTCTTGGGGTCCTCTTGGCGCCTCGCCATGGCTCCAAGGTGGGATCTTCACCACGAGGAAGTAGTCCTCTCGAGCCAGGCCCGACCGCGTGCCTGAAAAACCCACAGCCACCAACCGCAGCCCATCCCCACCATCACACAGCCACACAGCCACTGTTTGGGGAGCCCACATGCCCATCGGACGTCGGTCAAGTTCCTGCTCTCATGCATGGGCGACACGAAAAGGCCGTGCGCCTCCTTGTGCCCCGCATAGCAGGCTTCAGTGGGTGGATAAAGTCCTGTTCATTTCAGAAGTATCGATCCCGCGGTAACCCATCTTGAGGGCTGCAAGAATGGCTGCCTGCCGCATATTGCAGAGACAGAACTGCAATAAAGAACACCGCAAGTATGCGACTGCGCGCGGTCTTTGCGAGCCATGTCTGAGAAGCTGGCTCTGCCGGCTCTCCCAGACAAGCCCTCGTAACCGCCGGTGCCGAGCATCACCCGAGGCATGTTCACATGCCCACCCTCGGCAACCCAGCGGAAGCACCGCTCGCCACTTATCACCGAGGCTCCCACCCCTCGGATCGGCAGAGAGATAAAGTCGCACGGCCTTCGACACCGCTGGAAGTCCATTCGCAAGCAACTCAATAATCACAGCACCTCGGCTCTGCATGACGACAGGCGTCCCTAAAGCACTTTCAACCGCCGAAGTCCTTTAAAGAGGTTCCTCCTTATACTATCCTCATCCACAGGATCTGCATTTTCACCCTCATCATGGATTCCCCTTTCTCATGGACGGATCCTGCCCACGCAGTACCACCCTTCACAATGCTTTCGGAACAACCCGGAGCACGAAACGGAATAATCCAAAAAGCACAACCGACCATGCATCTCTTGATCTGAAGCTTTTTGCACTCTTGCCTCGCCACCATCCTTCCCTTTCGACTGTCATGTACGCCATGCTAGGAGCTACAAACAACTGAGCCGTCAAGAGATCACTTCCAGCAGCTTCATCACCTCAGCATAGTAAGGATTGAAGTCAATTCAGATTCAAGGACAGGCCCTTGCACCCGGCCAACGTGCCGGCGAAGGCACCAGTGGTAAAGCAGCCGCAACCGCCAGGCAACATCTGGCAGTTCCTGACTTGAGACCTCCAGCAACACAGAGCTGAAGCAGAAAATTGCAAAAGTACCTGCACAACACACAGTGTCGGCCTGGCTCAGATCTTATCGTTTCCCTTTTCTCGTCCTGTGGATCTTTGGGAAGATCATCCTGGAGAACATGCACTTTCAGTCTACCCGCCATACGTTGCCACCCTGGCGGGATTGGATTGTCTTCGGCCGAATAGCAGCAGAGGCAAGTGGGGCCCGTGGGGAAACAGAGAGGCGACGGAGCGCGTAGGCCCTCCCCCATTCACAATCTTGGCCTGGTCGCGCAAGCACTTCGACCGGTATCGCACATGTAGATAACGGCCAAAACGTCGGGATGCAACGTGTTTGTTTCTACTTCGAAAGTGTGCTACGCGGCCCACTCCTGGACTTCACGGCAGAAAACTACACGGTGACCCAAGCGGTCACAGGAAAGCCCGGGCTGGCATGATTCGCTGTGAAGCGCACGAAAGATCAGGGAAGCCACGAGAATTCGCCCAGCTTCACGCATTCCATGGAGCAATGACACACCAAGGCTGCCAAGGCAGTCGACCGCCGAGTCGGCGGGTGACACTGTAGGACTGCGAGGTCCAAGCTCGCAATTGCCCTACACGGAAAGTGATATCGGACAAGGGCACTTTATCTTATCCAGTGAAGCAGTCTGCTTATCTAGATTGTCCAGAGTGCAAGTTGCCGAGCCTTTCCTACGGAACCGTACAAAGGATTTCCTACGGAACGGCACAAGGGATGCAAAGCATTTTGCGAACGCGGGTGTCATGCTTGCCGAACGCAGCTATCCGACGACATGATGTCCTTGTCGGTCCCCAGCACAGTCTGCGGATGAAACTTTGCACTGGCAACCTGCCGATATCGTTCAACCTAGTGAGAGATGTCACAGCACTTCGCAACAACCAGCACAACGTCCAAGGGCAGATGTCCAAAGCCTTGGCAATCTCGGCTACTCGCTGCGCCGTCTCGACCATGGCTTGGGCAGTTCTTGGGGCCTCTACATACGCCGGCATCCCTAGGCCGACAGCTTGCGTCCCTAAGCTCTGCACAAAGCTGCTGGCCTTGGCCTTCCCATCCAGCATTGCGGTGGGCACCGCATCCTGTAGGCTTGCTGTCAACAGTGACACGACAGACTCAACTTCATTGTGGCCGTGCAGGTGTCCTCCACCAGCGAGGTGTTTTCACTTTCCTCTTCGCTAGAGCCTCAAGCGCAAGCCACTCGAGTTCACTAAAGTCTATGCAGATGTGCTGCACATGTCAATGTGTCCCTTCATGCTCTGACGACATGTTGTACTTGGCGCGAGGCTGGGTGATACCTCGATGTTGCCATCAGAGCTGACGGGCAGGATGGTCACACTGAGGCTAACCGCCTCGCATTGCCAGCTCACAAGAGGTTCACACCTGGTGCGACGGTGAAGCTCAGCTAGGAGCCCTGAGCGCGAAGTTCTGACCGGAGGAAGACACCTGCAAAAGCCAGTCACGGAAGAGTGATCTTTAGTTCAGGAGGGGAAGCGCTGCGAGCGTCAGGCACTGAAACTTTCCGAATGCTGGCACAGAAACCGCCCGAGCAACACTTTGCAAACACGATGTCTTCGGCATGTTGCGTGTGACACGTGCTTGATGTGGCATTGAAAAGACCCACGTCCCTCTGTCGATTTGCGGATGCTGGCTGCAGTCCCGCCTGCCGCCGGATCTCTGCAGTCACCGTATTTATGTCCTCAGCAGGGCATTGAATGAGAGATGCGAGGAAAGACCTGGATAACCTGCAACACGCATCCGCAATAATCAATTTGCTACGAGAGTGTCTGAGGTTGAGATTCTCGACGCGACTTGGGAAGCATTTCCTTTGTTCACGTCCTGTTTGTACACCTCAATCATGTATGCCACGTTCACCTTAGCCGCAGAAGTTCTGGCAGGGCGTTTCTTCAAGCACCACAGGCCGCATCGCAGTGGCTTGAGGGGACACCGATTTCCCGCCATGTGCAAAGCCGAGGCACGTTTCCTTTTATCCTCTTCTGCACTTGTGACAGCAGCATGGCCTGCAGCGACGGCGCCACAGCGGTTTGCGTATCGCGTGCGCGAAAAGCCACACAGCTCGCTCTGCGCATCTCTGCACCTGCGGGATGGTGACGTCCACTTTCACGTCCTCGCTCTCCGCACCCGCCAAATTCGCCAAAGCCTTCGCCAGGGCTGCCTGAGACGAGCGGGGAAGTCTCAGCAAGTATCGGACTCAGCGCACTTTTCAAGCCCAGGGAGCCGAGACGGAGGGATTCCCGACCTCAGAGACTCAGACTCAGACTGACCGCTGCACTGCCCTTCGCACCCTGCAAGATACCGTGGAAGTTCATGATACTTCGACTGAGCTTGCCAACGAAATCGTCCGCCTCGATCACGTCCAGACCTAGATCTCCGGCAATTTCAGCCAAGACGGTCCTTCCGTCCTGTGCTTGCTCTCTCTGCATATACATACAACAACAAGGGAAAGACTGGCAGATAGGACTTATGCTGCACTTCATTCGCACGTCTTGAACCTCCCTCTCTCCTGCTTGCTGTCGGCCGTCTCGAAAGCGTCGGTAAAGTTTCTCCTCGGCGCGTGGTTATTGACCGATTACCGTGACCGTGGATGTGAGACGATCCGGGAAATAGCATCTGCAGAGCTACCACCGAGCCTTAGAGACTGATCAAGTGCAGCTCCAGCCGCGAAGCTGGCGTATCCGGTGCTTCGGCTGCTTCTTTGGACAAGTATTCCGAGAAGTTGCCTGAAGCCTGGAAAGGCCGCGATCCACTGCTTGATGAAAGATTCTGCTCCACCTGCTGGCAAAACAACACGCGGAGTCATGCTGCGTGCAACAGTATTTCTGCGGTCATGTTTCTGTTGTTCACACTCTACGAGCTGCAGCGGCAGCTAGGACATGTGAGCGGAAGATTGCTGGATCTTGAAGTGGGCACGTGGTCTCACCCGACGTCCCGGACTCGCGCCGCCTGCTTCAAGAATTTCTCGACGTCAGCCGTTTTGCTGGGAAGAGCTTCCAAAATGTCCAACACCTGCTTGACGTTGCTGCTGGAAACATCCTGACACTGTTGCATAATGCATCATGTCTGACAGCTGACAGCCACGGGCAACTTCATCTCAAGTCGCTCAATGGGTTGAAGCAAGGCAAAGAGCAGCCGGGTCACCATGTCGGCGGTTCGCTCCACTGCGGTCGGAGACGGTGGTGGTATCCTTAAATTGCTGTATGCGGAATTCTTGTACAACTGCCAGGCAGGCAGCACAGCAGCAAACCAAGCGCAAGTCGTGGGCGGCGCTGTTGTGCGATTCAACACCACCTCCTGGGTGTCGGTGTTAACGGACAAGGATGTTTTGGCAGCACCGTCACTCAGGAAGACATTGGGCATGAGGGGTTCAGAAATGCCCACGGGATGGCAGTGTCATGCCGAAGATTCGTTGTAGGTATAATTCACCTGTGGCACCTGTGCAGACAGGACGGGTTTGGCAAACGGGTTTGCCCGTCGAGGAAGAACACGGCGTTCACGTGTGTTCACGCACCTCCCCCGTGATATTCTGGATCATCTTGTCGATTACCTTCATGGCTTCGGCCTGCGTTGCGTTCGACAGCTTGGCCTTGCACGTGGAAAAGGCTGCAGTTGTCAGGTTACTCAGCAAGAGATGGAATCACGGTCAGCATGCACCCACCGGCGGGTGTAAGCCCGGCACAAGGTCTGGCTGCTGCAACTTGAGCTTCTCGTAGATTTCCAGCCTTAGAAGAGAACCATTCCGGTGCTAAACCTTTCCTGTAGGCTAATGGCCCACATGCGGTAAAGTAGCGACTGGTTCAGCTTGTCTTTGGGACAAGGTATCGTAGGCTTGTAGGGTTCGCCCTTGTAGCTCGGGTCTTTGCCTTGATTGCCGGCATGGCACCGCACTGCCTTCCGTTCCTTCCCTGCCCTCGTTCTGCCCAAGCATCTGATCGAGAAATTCTTCGACAGCTCCTCCTGGCCCGGGACCTCTAAAGGGCCCCGCTCCGCCTGGGCGGCACAGAAAGCTGAGGGCCTGAAGCCGGCGTACGAGTAGCTTGACTGAGGCCAAGACGTGTGGCTCCCAAACGTTGTGTAGGTGGCTCCAGCCCAGCTGCCCCTTCTCGAGCTGAAGAAGCGTCAACTTAGCCGCACGGCTTCTTTGCATGAGCCAGTTAAGCCCTCGCAACCCTTCTCAAAGCTACAACACAAGGCTTCGGCCGTTGTCGTCGTGCTTGAGGTTGAATGCGGGCAATTGATGTCATCTTCTGGGTTGCTGCACTCACCCACCTCCCACATCACGTCCTGGCACGGCGCTCCTCCGTAGAGCTCTGCTTTCTTCACCCGGGTTCGGAAGCGGGAGCCCACGCCACAAGAGGCCGAACAATCGCCCCACTCTTGCCACAGCTCGAAGCTACAGTCCACAGGACATGGTTGCGAATTGCATCTCTCGTTCTCGGTGCGGTTTCCTGCACATGGCTTTCCTCCAGCGGAGGCTTCCTGCTTCCGTGTTCGGCTCTTGCTGCGCACTCCACCGTTGCAGGTGGCTGGGCAGGGACTCCAAGCTTCCCAGTCGTTCCACTCGCAGTGAACTGCACAAACATCGAAATTGCAACCCGCTTCCTCCTCTGAAGCTCCCACACAAGGATCTCCACCAAAAGCCCGCTTCACAACGACATCTCGGAAGCGCTTGATGGAGCCACCGCCACACTCCTTCGAACAGGGCGTCCACGTGGTCCACTGGCCCCACTCGCAGTCCTGCGGACATCCTTGGGTGTTACATGGAGTGGACTCCCTTGCAAGGCCGCCGCAAGGCTTACCACCGTACAGCTCGGGATTGGATTCGCGAGTCCTTTCCATTTGACCGCCGCCACACGTCTTTGAGCAAAGGGCATAATTTGACCACTCGCCCCAACTACAATCCACTGGGCAAGGTTGCTCGTTGCAGTACTCTGTCTTGAAGATACCACCGTCACAAGGTTGACCACCCCACTGAGGTGGCGTAATGAGCGTTCGGGAGGCTGTCCTGCAGTATGAGACTACGGGCATTCACTAGTGCACAACTAACGTCCAACGGATGCGACCACACGCACAGCGCAAGCCACTCAAATACTTAAATTCAGACTTCAGGCCCTTTCTTTTGCGTCCCGGGGTCCTGTTCCCTGCGCTGCAGCTCTTGGAACAGTCGCTCCAGTCTGTCCACTCCTCAAACTTGCAGTCGACGGGGCAGCCGTGCGCATTGCACACCATCTCCTGAAGACAGGCCAACTCACAAGAAGACATCCACCCGATGGTTCAAAATCCGGGCCTCGTCGGCAGAACCTTCACACTGACGACCTCCGTGTTCCGCTGAAACGTTTTCGGATCTGTGCCGAAAAGTCGTACCACCATTGCACTCCTTGGTGCATTTGCTCCATTCACCCCATGTCGCCCACTCGCAGTGAATAGGGCATGGGGCATCTTCGCAGCCGGTGGTTTCGAGCAGATCATCCGGATTGCAAGCTTTGCCTCCTAACGATCCATGAACGACCACACCGCGAGATCGCGTCTGTTGACCGGTGGGCCCACATGTGACAGAGCAGTCCGACCAGCGCGCCCAGTCTCCCAAGACGCAGTCAACAGGACATGGATCCAGTGCGCACACCTTGCTTTCAGGGTCTGCCTTTCTGTCTACGCACTCGTTGGTTCAAACAGTGGAGAGATGTAAATGGTAACTGAAGTGTTTAAGGGATGTTCTACGAGCTGCTAGTTCATACTATCGCCTCTGTGCCAAGTCACCTTCTCATCATCCTCGGTCCCATAGCAGACATGCCCACCATTCTTTTCATAAAGCTTCCTAGTCCTGCTCCTTCGCACGAAGCCAGAGCCACACGTCACAGAGCATCCTTCCCACTGGGACCAATCATCCCATTCGCAATCCACCGGGCATGCCGGAAGGGACGAGCAAGCAACAGAATCTTTGGCCACACCCTCGCAGTCTGCGCCGCCATGTTCCGCAGGAATTGCCTTCTGGCGCTCTCGGGTCTGGAGCCCTGTACCGCAGGATGCAGAGCAGCTTTGCCAGGCCTCCCAGTCGGCCCACTGGCAGTTGACAGGGCAGGCTTCGTTGTCGCAGCTCCTCGTTGCAGATGAATTGCCTGAGCAAGGTTCTCCTCCGAAGTCAGCACGGACCTTTACGTCTCTGCTTCGTGTCTCTGTGCCCTCACCACATGTGCCACTGCAGTTTCCCCATTTCGCCCAATCTCCCCACTCGCAGTGGACCGGGCACGCCGCAGGATTGCACTGCCGAGTCTGCTGGTAGCCACCGTCACAATCCTTGCCGCCATGCAGCATTGGCGTCTGCACCAGGCGATTGCGATAGCTGGATCCGGACCCACAAGTCACCGAGCAAGCGCGCCAGTCCTGCAGGGTGCAGGCACAAAAGAGCTTTTTTTACGGTCGCGGGTCAGCCTCGCTTCTCGTGATTTTCTTGAACATAAAGACATGGATTAGAAAGTAGCGGAAAATGCTGCCATGCTGTGCCCAACCTGCCAATCACTCCACTGACAGTCCACTGGGCATGTATCTCTGGAACAGTAGCGTTTCTGATATGTTTCATTGGCAGCTCCGACACACTCTTTGCCTCCATATTGAGCCGAAGATGCTATGTCGCGCTGCCGCTCCACGACTCCAGGCCCACAGGTACTACTGCAATCAGACCACATTGTCCAATCTGTCATCTTGCAATCTACGGGGCATTGAACAGGGCTACAAGCAGTGGTTTGCTCAAGCTCTCCGGCGCAGTCATCTCCGAGCTTGTTCTTGTGCTGGACCACAGTCCGGAACCGCTTCGTGGATCCTGGCTGCCCGCTAGTTGTGCAGCTTATGCTACAGTCTGCCCATTGGGTCCAGTCGCTGAGCAGACAATGAACCGGGCATAGTCCATTGTCACAGGTTTTGTTCTCCGAGACAGCTCCACAACGCTCGCCACCAAAAACTGGCAGCGTCAATACCCTGCGTTCTCGTCGCGTCGTGCCTTCTCCACACGTAACATCGCAAGGCTCCCATGCCTGCCAATCCTCCATTGCACAATCCACGGGGCAAGTGTTCATGCCACACGTCTCTGTCTGGAGGTTCTGACCAGGACCTCAGCTACGCACAAGGGGCTTCCGCATTATGCTTGGCTGGTGAACTGGCTCAAGTCATTGATGTATTGAAGCCCATTCGACGACCAACAAATCCTCTCAAAGCCTGAAACTCACCGGTCAGAAACTTTCAACAGGCGTTCATCCACATCCCCCGTTATACCCGGCACACGTTCGCCACTGCCATGACGGGATACAGATTGAACACCCTGGCAACATCTTACCACGAGTCGTTGAAAGACGTATGACTGCGATTCAAACACGAACGTCCACAACCTAGCAATCTATCATTCCGCAATTTCGCCGTGGCTTTCTCGCTGCACGAATCCGAGCAGGAAGCAAGGAAGATTAGAACCCAAGCCGACGACAAATCAAACAACATCATCCAGAAGAGCCTCTGCTTAAACGCAACGTGCAAGTGCACTAAAGGCAAGAGCAGCGTGCCAACTGTGCCTCCGACACTCCTTGCCATGTGCATTTTGGATCTGCGCATAGCTCCGATACCTGCAGATGCAACCATCGACCACGTCCCTCTACTCCTGTTGTCTGCCCAATCTCGTTTTGGAGTGCAGATGCCCACTGACGATCTTTTGAGCCTCCGGGCTGCCCCTCTCACTCCTACCACGCACCTGGATCTCTCGCCGACGCCACAAGACTTGGAGCAGCCTCCGGCAAATGAAAGCTTACGAGAGAATCACGTCTGAAGTTTACGTCTCCATAATGCCGTGATGCTGCCTTCCCAGTCTCCCCAATCGCTCCACTTGCAGTCCACCGGGCAGATTTTCACCTACGCAAAACCGGAACACTACGCCTTCTCCTAGAAGCAGACATCCAAAAACGGTGTCCTGGCACTCGGCCGATGCAGTGGTATTTCCAACGCAGGGTTTGCCTGCATTGCGCTCAGGAACCCTGCTTAAGGACTCGCAGCGGCAGGAGCCTCCGTACTCTGGGAGTTGGCTCGGGTCGCGAGTCTTCACCTGCCACGGAGCGGCGGTTTGCAGGCATGAGGTCATTCTGCACCGTGCTTTTCCGCCCTTTGCAACTCCGAACAGACTCCTTCACAGGAGGCATGCGCAGCAGCATTAGTTGCTGCATCAGCAACAGCAGCAGCCACAGCCAGCAAAGGCTGCAGCACCGCCACGCCACAACAACCACCATGACCAGCAGCAGCAACAACAAAAGCAGCAACACCGCAACAATTTCAATTGGACTCGGCGCGAGCGGGCTCAGCGCATAGCGGGCATGTA